AACTTAGAATCTTAAGGCCCACGCAAAATCAAGGCGTTTTCGTGTAGGGCCCTTCGGTATGCCAAAACGTCTTTCTACATGCCTGAAACGGCACACCCACTTGTGTTTCGCGATGGGCAACGGCAAGCCTAGGGTTCTGGGCGTACCAAGCACTAGTACTACTACTACTAATACTAGTACTAGTACTACTACTGCTGCTACTACTTCTGCTACTACTACTACTACTACTACTGCTACTACTACGACGACGACGACGAGGAGGACGAGGACAAGGACGACAAGGGCCAGGACAAGGATGCTGCTGCTGGTGCTGCTGCTAGTACTGCTGCTGCTGCTGCTGGTGGTGCTAGTGCTGCTAGTGCTGCGTCGTCATCGTCACCATCATCATCATCATCACCACCTGCACCACAATATGAACATTTAAGCCTCACTCCTACTCTAGTCACCTGGACACGGCAGGGTGTTGGACTGCGCCCTTTTTCCACTTTCGCCTTAGCAGCTTGCATACGCGGGGAGTGAGCTGCATCTTAATGCCGACTCCACCAAGCGAGACTGGACCCCTTCTTCACTATGATATCTTCAGGCTGCCAGAGCTCTGACATCATGTGTGCCCTTATGTTGCTTAGAGTGACCCTGCTAGGCACTACTGCGCTTCAGCTGCTTCTGGCAGCAGCAGGCGCAGACCTCGAAGCAGTCACAATGATGATGATGATGAAGATGATGATGATGATGGTGATGATGGTGGTAAGGGCAACCCGCAAAGACGCAGGCACTGATCCGTAAATCCCTCCCACACACAGGCCCGCACACTGGGTAAGCGGGCAAGCGCCTACATTAGATCCTGATATTTCTGCTGCGACTGCACCATGAACTACCTCAAACACCCTCTGCCCGCTATTTGAGGAAGCAACGCACTGGGACCGCAAGACTTTCACGTTAAGAACTTGTGACTTCACTATACTTCATCGTCTCCTAACTGCTTGCTGCAACGATCTTCACGCCAGTCAAGCGTTCACCCACATGACCGTACTGTCACTAGAGAACCGTAATCCAAAAGCCTCTGTAATTCCCAGCCATTGCCTCAAGATCCCAATCCCAGGCTGCTTATCCAGCGCACGGCGCCGGAGCCCTGTGTTCTGGTTGCTATATAGATCTCGGGTGCGATGCAGCTATATGCTGGAAGGAGGATTTAGGCGCTGTGTGGAGGCCATGCTGCTTGGGAGGCTTGACAAAGGATGATTTGGGAATCGGCTCCACGAGGGTCCCCTGACTTTCAAGGTATTTTGGTACCCTCTGTACTTGCGTTAGGTTTAAGGAAGTCTTCGGGTGCAGGGGTTTGGGGCGTTGGAGGGTTTGGAGGCGTAGGGCTAGCTTCGAAGTTTGGAGGTCTGCTAAAAACTTCAGGTTTGGTACCTTCAGCGCCATTCTGAATGCTGCAGCCCAAAACGCTATACTCAATCCTGGAGCACTCTCAAGCCGGGTGTCCAGAATGCAGCTGAGGTCTCTCCTATCAACTTGAGCCATCGACTTTACATCTTCCAATGGGGTGGTGTGTTGTGTATCATATGGTCGAGGTTGGATGGTGAATTGAAATTTCCTTCGCACTCCAACATACTGGGTGCCAGCTTACAACAGGCATCCCCAGAAAGGGTCAGTTGGTTCGAGAAAGTCCCAATACTCCCACACCTGCGCCCCCTCGTTGAAAAAGAATGATGTTCGGCCGCAGCATTCGCATTTTTCTAGAAAACGTTACGGCCATACTGCTCTGATACTAATAATCCCTTGTCCCCAAACATAGCCTAACGAATACGCTGCCCAGACAAACCCAAAACTCCTGGAAGATCCTGGAAGGCTACTTTAAAGGGACTTTACTGGGAACCCCCAACAGGGAACCCCAAGAATATAATAGGAATATAATGGAATATAAGGACCCTGGTAGGTATATTCCTATTATATTCCTACTATACTCTTGGGGTTCCCTTTTTGGGGTTCCCAGTAAAGTCCCTTTATACTTTAAACAAGTCAAGACTACCTGTAAAAGGGACCTATTAGGATCCCTCTAATAATGAACTAGGGAGCTCCTTCTCTCTTGTAGTTCATCTATCTTTTTCGATGTTATTGAGAAGGCTCTTGTAAAACATATTATACCGGAAACCTCAATCATAAATGATTCTGGATTTCCCTGTATTTCCTTTAGTTGTCATTGCTTTTAACACTGGTTGAAAGGGGAACTTGCATAAAGCAACGCAAGGAATCTGATTCAGTTTCTGCTTCCTTTTACTCCTTGATCTTATTACTGTACAAGGTCTCAAGGAGTGTCAATTGAAGAATGGAGATGCAATTATCTTTAGAATGTAGGACTTTCTCCATGTAATTAAGTAGGTCCTATTCTTGCCTTTTAACCCCTTTGAAATGAATGCGGCAGCTCGTTCACTCTTGGTGGTAGCTCGTTAGCCTAGCTACTGGCACAACAAACAAGCATCACCACAGCTTCAAGTGAGCTATAGTCTGAACTCCCTAATGGGCATTATATGAAGGTTCTATAGGTGAAAAAATATAGGGTTTAGTAGAGGGAAACTAGGTGTTTAGACTATAGACTATACCTCAAGTCAAGGTAGCGATACAGCTTGGCTTAATTAATTCCACGGCCTGGCTTTGCGTCATGTATCTGCACCTGTCCCTCCGGACTGTTCCTGAAAACGGTGGTACATGCAATATACCAGCATTTAACTGTCATAAAACAGAACCAGAAGTCTTCATGCCAGTCACTCACACGGGTATATCTCAGAACAGGACTTCCTTTCTGGGGACCTCCCGAACGAGACCTCAAATTAACACCCATGTATCTTGAATGGGTCTCCTCACCGTAGGGGTATCCATATCTTCGGTAACTGAAAGCGTGGCAAGGATGCCTGCACCACAGTCTCGCCAGACTCCTAGAAGAAAGGACACGCTAGGCTTTAAAGCAGACTTGGTCCAGCGTCTAGGGAACGCTTGAGAATGCGGAGTACCTATCAGAGATATGCCCAGGCATTCTGTCATGAGTGAAGCTAGCCGATTCGTTTAAATGTTGCGAACACCTTCGTAACCTGCTACAACAAGATTCCCTGGTGGTAAGTAAGGAATGCGGGAATGTGCTGTAGGGATTCTCTACAGTCACTACACGGCAACCCGGCTCTGGGTCCTTCTTGAGTTTTGCGCGGGCACCGGCATCCGGGCCTGCACAAGAAGAATGTATGAGCCTTGAGGCATTTGCGAAGAAAGTACAGCTGTAGACCAACAACCTTGACTGTGAGCAACTGCAGCACGCATATTTCTCTAGTCTGTGGACGCGATGCGATAGTTGATCACTTGTATGGAGAGCCCTGCCCGACTAGCACCCATAAAAAAGGTCTGCTGGCATGAGACTGCCTAGAACGGAATCCTCATGCACAAAAATCACACACAAGAATGCTAAACCCTCAACCCTACACCCTAAACCCCTGAACCCTAAACCCCCAAACCCAAATCCCTAAAACCCTGAACCCCTAAGCCCCCAAACTCGCACCCTGAAGCCCACTGCTCCAGCTGCCACGTGCGTGCGTGACTGCAAAGAAATGAATTCTCGAAGCCTACATAGGAATGATGGAAAATGCACATGTACATATATATATATATATACATACAAACACAGGGTTTAGGGTTAGTACAGTAGGGGATAAGGGAATATATTATACACAGGGATAATATCCCCCTATTCCGTACTGACAACCATTAACTAATTATCCCACCACAGCACCCACCAAAAACACTTACGTACATCTTTGCCACGAGGATCTGCACCAGGCACCAATAATTTCGAGAGAGCCTAAACCTTGGGCCCTAGCCGGTTCATATCTGATATACCCAATAAATCCAATAAAAGTTCCATATGGGAATGTCCCAACGTCCCCCACATTTACCCCAAAATGCTACCCCTTGTGATTTGGACCCTTAATTTCCGCGATATGAACTCAATAGATTCGCTATAGATCCTACCTGCCGGGAATTTGGGAGCACCAATGTTGCCTCGCAAGACTGATAGGTTGGTAGTAAGGGCCTCCTGAAATCCAGAATAATACAGTAGTTGCCACCTTGATTTTCCCTTCCCTCAGGCCCTAAACCTAAACCTTAAATAGTTGCTTCCGTCTTCTTTTCCATTCCATATGACAAGCCAGCTAAATCAGCGTCCTGCCTGTGGAATCCTCCTTTACCAGCACAAAGAGAGATCCATCTCCTCCTCTGGTAATCCGGAGAAAATCGTCCAAGTAGGTGATGTCCTGAGATTTTGGGAAAGGTGCTTCCTGACGGGGCTTCATTCTCAGTAAGAACGCGTTAAACAGAGGAAGCCAAGCGCTGCCCTCCGCCGAAGTGCACACTGCGTGCATGAACCCACGGTGAGCATCCATTTATTCATTCCCCTAACCAGAGGTAAGGTAGTTTCCAAAATAGAGGGACCCCAATATCGACCCCAACACACTATAATCCTGATTATGGGGACCCCCCAAAAAAGGCCTACGAGTAACGTGAAGCAACGCCGGGCACCTTTTTGTTGTCTCAACTGCGCTGAGTCCAACAGCTTCGCACGGTGGGCATGGCCCACTCGCTCAGTAAATGCCCAGCCATGTGATGATTACCGGGGTTAGGGTTTGGGGTTTAGGGGTTGAGGGGTTTAGAGTTTAGGGGTTTAGGCCAAGCCTTTGGAATAGTGAATACTGAGAAGGACTTAGGCATGCAACAGCGGTATCATGTCATCACAGGCCATAGGCTGCAACAGATAGCCGCCGGCTCCAAAAGAGCTCACACGGGCAATGCAATGGCGAAATTAAAGCGCCACAAAACTAAACGCCGCAGTATACCTACTATCCACCATGTGGGATATGTTGATCAAAGGCTTTTGGATCCTAGTTCCTGTGCGTGGACTTCGGCTGAAAAATACGGGAATCCCGATGAAACTCCTTTCAAACCATGCCATAAACCCCTCACACAACCAGCTCTTCCACAGCGGGCTCAGTAATTTCAAAGCGCTGCTCATCTGCAACCTGGGCAGAAAGATGCTGGCCTCCAAGCCCTCGGGTTGACCTCCCCTGAACAAGGATGGAAACCCACACAGGTTGGCTCCTGCCCCCCCCCATTAACAATCTGTCATAGGGGTCAAATTCAGGGCTCTACATAGCGACAAAATACATGTTCACCAACTGTGCAGGAGTGGGGACAGTATCCAACACATAGGCCTTTTAAGGGTGCCGCTGTAACCTTTGTAGGGCCTTTTCTGATATTGGCGTCTTGTATGGGGTGAGGCTTACGGCTTGCACCTGGGAATTCCAAGGCTCTTGTAACAGGCCTTCTCCACCTGAAAGGTGCAGGTCGCAAGGAAAAAATGGCAGATGCAACGCAACATGCTTGGGGAGCCCTCCGTGGACTTAGCCAGTCCTGATGATGAGTTGAAAAGTATGAAAAGCCGCCCTCTGTTATTCGATAGTGGACTAAGCCCGACTGGATGATGAGTTGAAAAGTATGACAAGCCCGAGCAACATCTCCGCGAGTGAAGATGAGAGAGTGCTTGCCAGGGTACAGCTTTTGCTCACCATCCTGGCAGTTGACATGCTGCATGTTGAGAACTCTTTGCGGCCGCTACTTTAGCCCACCCCGGACCCTACCTGGGAAGGTCTTAACATATCGCCTTGTTCACCACTTCCAGAACAGAAGGCTGAAGGTTGAAGGACACACGGGCGTCTTGCCCAGCTGCCACCCGCACCCGCTGGAAGTCTCTCAGCGCACGCTTGGGAAGCGGATGGTCCACCTTGCCAATGTCCACAGCAGTGTGGTAGACCTCAGGGCTCTTCGAAGGTACATCCCTTCGTTAGGTCCCCAAAGATGTAGCATACTCTATTTGAAGCAAGATGTTACCATTATTATATGGGGTTCCCAAAAGCATTCCAGAGTTTGATAACAACTGCCGACCTGAATGACCTCATCGCCGTCCAGGCGTCCAGTGTTGGTTACTTTGCAGTCAAAAGAAAGCTTGCCCTCTTCTCCATACCTGCGGGTTTCCAAAAGTCAGGGGTGCCTTTTTGGGGATCCTAATAATAAGGATTATAGTAAATGGTGGGTCATATGCGCCCTGGACTAAAGTTCTAGTATATCATCCCCTAATGGGTCCCTCTATACCCCTATCTATCCCCCCCAACCTAACTTTAGTCCGTAGCTCATATAGGGGTACCCCGAATTTTGGGCAACCAAGGCTTTGTCCCCGTCTTCCGAGTGCAATGCAGCTTGAAGGTAGTAAGGGAGAGGCCATGGCCAAATGGATACCTGGGTTGTTGCTAAGGAGATTAAGTAATTATAGAGAATCAACTGGAAAAGCAAATGTCAAATGAGACGGGAACTGGGGGAATATAGAGGTTTAAGGAATTTTTTCAAGTTATAAGAAGGAAGCCCTACTAGTTACTATGGTACCCTAAACCCTATATATACACTCATACCCAGGTAGCTTAACTTAAATTCCTTTATAAAAAAAAGCCCAGATACAGAGCCTCGCCTTGGTAGTACTTGTAAGTACGCCCAGGTGCCCTCGACATGTCGTAGTTTGTCATGGGCTGCTCTTTGATGTACTGGTGAGGGTACCTGTAATTTCCTTAGACCTATGATAAATATTTTTGGTACATTTCCTTAGGGTTATACTATAATCAAAATTTAAAAAAATCTTACGACAGTACAGGTACATGGTGACTGACAGCTTGCCCCAGCGGTTCTCCTTTCCAAAGAATGTTGCGCCCAGGGCCTGGGAGCCCTTGTGACTTGGAAAGAAGGCCTGCACAATCGCGTACGGAGCTGCGGTTCGATGGATCAGGGAGTCAATGGCCATGGGGCCACCGCTGATGAGCACCAAGATTGTGGGCTTGTTCAAAGAGAGGACCTTCGAATAGCTATCAAAACAGAAGCTATTCCCAGGGCATGGGAAAGAAGAGCCCACATGTATGACATCTGAACTGACTAAGCCTTAAAGTGCCCTATGTATACACCCTGTATAACCTTGGGGTCACGACAGAACCCCGCACTTCCCTGCTATTTTTGTTAGGACCTTCTGGGCGAAGCTCTCTTGCAGACCTGGCAGAGCAGTGTCCACTCGATCCCGGCCCTCTGTCTCGATCGACTTGTCGTCCCCCAAAGCAAGCACCACCACATTAGCCTTAGGGTTTACATCGGAGGTTTAAGGTTTGCGGTTTAGTGGTTTGAGGTTTAGGGGTTTGAGGTTTAGGGGTTTAGGGCTTAGGATTCAGCAGCCTACTAAGTCCCTCTGACCCGCCAAGTAATACCGTAAAATAAGGTTATATGGTCTCTATTAGTGGGGATTTTCGGGTATGTAGAGGGTAGGGAGAAAGTCTAGGTATTGCAGCCATTATTGTTATTGTTATTGCCGTTGCTAGTGCCATATGATTGGTCTTGCTGTTATGCTCTTTGTTGGTGTTAATATTCCTGTTACGTAGCTTGCTTCTCAACTTCTGAACTACTATTTCTCAGAACTAGCGTAGCTGCTATTACGAGCACTGTAGATGCAAGCTCCTTCAGTGCTTCTATCGCAACGGCATTCTTTCGAGATGTATTCTGATGCCCAGCCTGTCATTCTTTGTCACCTCGACTTCAAAATGCAACCCCCGAACCTTATCTGCCAATAATCCCCCGTTGTCTACTATGATTGAAAGGGTATGACGTTTCTGATAGTAGCTTACCCGCGTATAAACCCCATATGACCCCTACAGAACCCAATATAACCATTGCCATGTGCGCCTTGCGGGCCGCTTCCAGCGCTGCTGGGATTCCATCCTTCTTGGTGCTGTTGATGTCAACGCCCAGGCTGGAGACGGTATGGCCCTTGGCTTGAGGGCTCTGACGAAGGATTAAGGCGAGATAGCCTTAAACCCCAGTAACATATGCCATGTACGTCATGAAACCCTTCGTGTTAGATCGTACTACCAAGGTAAGGCTTAGGATTCGCCAAGTGTGGGCGGTGTCTCCTTCATACGGCACGCAACTTCTAGGGAACAACTTGAGAAGACGGTTCCGGAATTTCCCTCTCCTACTCCGGCCCCTCCATAGGGGCTACATAAAATTATAAAGGGGGTATATAAGCTTTTGTAGGCCTATATAGGGGTTCTAAAAGGCCTAAACCCTCAACCCTAGAACCCTAAACCCTTAAACCGCGGCTCCTGTGGGTTTGCCATGGCCAGGCCTTCACTGATGGAGGGAACGCAGGCATCGGTGCCATCATAGCCTGGGTGGTTGTTAAAGGACTTCGGTTTAGGGTTTAGGGTTTAGGGTTCAGGGTTTCATAGTCCCCTTAAGTAGATAGAATATTAGGGTTTCATTGGGGCTATATAGGGATAATGGAAAAGAAAATGGAAACTATTTAGGGTTTAGGGTTTAGGGTTATAGTCCCCCTTAAGTAGATAGAATATAGCTGTGGGTATATTATAATAAGGTCCCCATATACTCCATATTCTATCGACTTAAGGGGGGCTGTAAGTTTATTACCTTCAATAGGAGAATCTAAACTTAGTACCCTCATAGGGAAACTTAAGCTTAGTACTAAAAGTAGGAGAACTTCAAATGAGTTCCATTATTTCATTAGGAAGCCACATCATTCCATTTCCTTGTACTTTCTTGAACCCATCCTGTGGTTAGTACCTCAACGACTAAAATTTGGAAGGACCATCGTTTCCTCTACATAAGTATATGCATATACTGTACATAGATATATACATCAACCCATGCTGAGGTAACTTGATTCAAACCCCCTAAACCCTCAACCCTAGAACCGTAAAACCCCAAAAACCTTTAATCCTAAAACCGCAAATTGACCCTAAACTCCCTAAACTCTTAATACACCCTAAGCCCTAAAACCCTAGGCCCTTTATAAACTCTAAACCCTAAAGCCCTAAACCCTTAAACATTAAAAAAAAAAAAAAAACTAAGTAAACTCCAAAACCCTAAGCCCTAATAAACCCTAAAACCCTAAACCGTATATCACTAAGAGCAACCCAGTTGCAGTGGCTGCGCGCTGCATAATCCGAGAAGAGCTGGCTCCGACTCATGGAGTGAGGACCCAGAACCTTGAATAGGGTTTAGGGTTTAGGATTTAGGGGTTTGGGGTTTTAGCGTTTGGGGTTTTAAGGTTTAGGGTTTTAGGGTTTTAGAGGGTTTTAATGGTTTAGGGTTTTAAGGGTTATAGGGTTTAGGGTTTTAGGGAACCTTGAACCCACAAAAAGTATGTAAAATGATGGAAAAGAAAATGGTAACTACTAAATTGTTTTGGGCTTAGGCTTGAATAGGGCTTTGGGTTTAAGGTCTTCTGCTGTTCTTTTTCAGGAATTTCGGGTTTAGGGATCTCTTGTTTGTATAGGAGTGTTGAGTGTAGGGCTTCTGGGTTTAGACACGCGTATCGCACAGCAGTGCAGGCACGGCAGCAAAAGTCCTGTCCGGGAGTACCTCCTAAACTTTGAGGGGTCAGGCCACTCAGTAGCTCCTATGGAGGATCAGGAGCAGCATCACTAGGCTGCACCTCACCAAAACTTTCGACCTTTTCTACCGGGTTTAGGGTTTAGGTTTGTAGGGCTTGGGGTTTTACGGTTCGAGGGTATGTAGGGTTTAGGATTAGCAAGGAATAAAAGCAGATATTTTATAGGGATTGTACTACCATATTCCGTCTTGGGTTGCTGTTGCAGAACTCGAATTAAAATACCATTCAGGCAATGTCATGTACTATATGCCTATGCAACGGTACCTGAATCTTAGCTGCTGTTGAGGAACTTGAGCTGCTTTTGTGGTTTAGGGTTTAGGGTGGCGAAGTCTCCGCTGGAAAGCGACTCCCTGCCAACGTGCTTGAAGCAGGGAGTCTCATAGACAACGGAGCCATTCTTCAGTCACTAGTTTGGCTTAGAATTGGAAGGAAACCAGGTCATTCACTGCATATCTATAGTATGGCAACTTAATCTAATAGTTTTCTGGGTGTCCTAATTAGGAAATGAAAATGTTGTATGTATATTGGGTTCTGGTAAACAATCTTTCCTAATCCACACATGGTTCAGGCCTACATGAAATCTCAATGTGTTGCCCAACAATGACAACCCAGGAACTGCCACTGACGCTCCCTGCTTGATAGGAAGAGCATGCCCATCATTCTTCAAGAGCACAAAGCTCTGCAGTGCGGCTTCATATGAGATCTGCTGGTGAAGCGAGCTATTGATGTCTTGCACTCCGTACCTTCTCTGTCACTCAATCAGTGTAGCAAAAGAAACCAAATATGTTTCATTCAAAACTTCAACAGCCGCTGGTCCTCACCTCAGGTGATGGCAAGCGGCCGGTGGAACTCTGTGCTGTTTGGTGGGTCAAATCGCCCAACTTCGAACTGAACCTGGAAAGAACGCCGCACGGCCTTGCGATCTGCAGTCTGAACATCCCCGCTCCCCAGTGCTTCAGCTCCCCTGGCCTGAAAACTAAATTATATAGCAATTATATAGGGCATATGGCATATATTGGGGTTATATTAGGAAAATGGAAAATCATAAATGGACACCGCCCTTTCCCTGCAATCTATTTGAGGTTTGCTGTGCCGACCCCAGTTTCCAGGCTGTTGCCCATTTCCATTTGAATTTTCCATTCCCAGGGTAATGTTCCCCTAATTCCTATATAATCCCGACCCCAAACCCTTTAAAGGGCAGTGGCCTCAGTCTGGTTGGGGCTTTCCAAAATTTTGCAAATTGAAATTGAAACCCTGTCATATGCTAGCTCTAGGATCCTTATTATATCTGCTAGAGTAACTAAAAACCCCTTGTCAATAAACCCCGCGAAACTTCACATCATGCCTCAGTCAATCGTGCGTCCGTTGCGAGGCCCATGTCAATGGCTTTGGAGAGGGACGAAAAGAGGGTGTCACCCATCCTTGGGGTCATTCCCCCTTACAGTAACTGTTACCACAATGGGTCATAGGAGTTATAAGAACCCCCTTAATAAGGCCCCTTTAAGGACAGGTACCGGGAGGGGGAATGACCCAACCCATCCTCAGAAAAGCAAGCTCGGCTGAAGATCTAGCAGCGTAAAAAGCAATGAGCACGGAAGCAGCAGCAGCAGCAGCAGCAGCAGGACGAGGAGGAGCAGGAGGAGGGAGTAGTAGCAGCCAGAGCAGCATCAGGATTCTCGCCATAAGAGGAGGCTCGAGGAACAAGAAGACCACACTGGCTGCATTTTTGAGAATAGAGCTGCAAATGGCAGCAGCCAAAAGGATAGAAAGGAAGATCACACGCTGAGCGGTTCAACCATGCTACAAACTTCAGACCTTGAGACTGCACATCCTCTTCTTCTTCTTCTACCGGCTTTGCCCACTCCTTGCCAGGGCTAGGCCCCGAAGCCGCGAGCCGGTCCAAGAGTCAAGTCAACACGAGCGAGGTCCGAGATGCTGCGTACTGCACATCCTCTCTCTCACTCTCTCTCTCACAGGCTCGGTTCCGTCAGCTGTCCATAGACTCATAGACGAGGCAGACCATTGGTCTCAGAAAGTTTTCAAACCTCGCCTCCTTAAATACCATCATGAACTACCCGGGTATGGGCTTTGGATTTTGGATTTTGGGCCAAATCGTCCAAACCCTGTCTAAACCCTAAACTGTCAAGCTGGGGGCCAGGCCGCAACATCTGAACTTCTTTGCCCCCCTGGATCCTGTTGTCCCTGTTCATCTAGCATACACCCTATGTACCCTTGTCAGGCTAGGACCAAGATGAGGGGCACATACCTCCAACCTTAGACAACCCTAAACCAAAACCCTGCAATCCCTATAGATTTCATTTTCTCTTCCATTGTCTCTATAATTTCCATGTTCTTTTCCATTATCCCCATATAATCCCTGTACTCCATATAGTGTCCATTATCCCTACATAATCCCCTTAATCCCTATGGTTTCCATTTTCTTTTTCATTATCCCTATATAATCCCTGTACTCCATATAGTGTCCATTATCCCTACATAATCCCCATAATCCCTATGGTTTCCATTTTCTTTTCCATTATCCCTATATAATCCCTATACTATATCCCCTAACCCCCGTCCCTAAACCCTAATCCCTAAACCCAAGGGTCACCCCCTCACACCAAAGCTCTGAACCCTTCTTAGCTTGGCATCTCCAGGTCGGTTCCGTTCATCAGTGCCATGGCAGCGGCGTGGATGTCGTCCGGGGCGTTGACGGGGGGGCCCTTCCTGGCATGCAAAACCTTCAGGAAGCCTTCCAGGCGCTGTAGGCGCTTTAGGAAAAACCTTTTAACTTAATAACCCTAACCCTAAATACTGCCCTATATAATCCCCTAAATAACTCTGTTTAAACCACTCAACCCTATACTCCTCCCCTGTATCATCCCCTAGATAACCCTTTTAAAGACAGGACTCTGCCTGCTTGTAGCCTATGGGGGGGGGGAAGGGGGTCACTGGGCCTTCTTGTCATCATCCCGTGGTCCCTCCAAGGAACCCCGCGTTCCGCATATTCAACAGAATTATAGTATGTTAATGGTATACTTTAATGTATTATAGTATATTATGATATATTATACTACATTATAGTATATTCCAAATAACATGATATGATATAATGTACTAGAACATAAAATAGTATACAACAATACTCTTGATGTAAGCGCAGAGTGAACCCTGAACCCTGAGGAGCCATGCCAAAGGACGAAAATCTTGACAGGTCCCTCGAAGTTCCTAGAAGTCCAGTCAAGCTGAATTCCCTACAACCCAGGAACCTACATACACATATAAATTTACGCAGAAATACATATACATATATATATATAAATGTGTAAAAATCTCTGTGTATGTATATATATATATATGTATATGTAGGTAACTGGGCTTCCGGAGAGTTGGTTTCCAGTACTAGGGTACCCCAATACAGAACCCAAAATACTACAATGCTTAGTATGGGTACCCCCAGAGAAGAGTGCCCCTAATCTGAAAAATCACCAGTGAAAGACTTGGATCAAGTTGTTCACAGCCCCGCAGTCGGTGGTGACATGCGCGTCCTGCGGACGAAGTCTGGGCGACACTTACTCTGTAGGGCTTGGGGCAGTTTAGGGTTTAGCCAAAACTGGGTCCCTTTTCAGATCCCAAAATAGCTCTGACTTGAACACCCCGCCGTATGACAGTGAAGTCACCTCGATATATATATATGCCTTGTGACTTCGCAACATTGGGTTTAGGGTTAGCCGTACCCCCCGGCCATGGGGAAACATATCTAAACTGTACCTACCGAAGCCAAGTTGCTGGCTTCCAGCTGCGCAGTTGTTTGTTGAGGATGAAATCGTTGGCGCACGAAGGCCGCCCATTCTCAGCATCGTAGGAGCACATGACGCCTGCCGTAAAGGTCCGCCCCATCTGAGAAGTGCTTTTTTTGGTGGTTGAACCTNNCCCAAATGAAATACTACTCATCTGGAAAGTCATGAACAGAGATCTGACAAAGGTTTGGGACGCTTTTGGGTAGAACGCAATAGTGGGGGCGGCTGTCATGTGGCAGCTTTCCCAAAAGGAGGGGACCCTAATATAGACTCCAAAATATGTTAACCCTTACTATAGGAACCCCCCGAAATGTACTCCGAATTGTGGAAAACTCCCATAAAAAGGGGACAATATCCAAGCCATACAAAATCCCAAACCCTAAACCTTTGTCAGCCCAGACTCAGCTGCATGGTAAGTTGGAAACTGCCGCAGGCATGCATTAAGCACACCCGGCAAATGGGATGGACTACCCAACCCTCATCCGCTGCTTCGTAAAGCGAAACTGACATCAGAAGCGGAAACTGCCTCCATCCAAGTCTGAACGCTGCTATGGTGGATATAAAGGTAATCACAGGGCATAAGAACGTCCAAATCCCAAACGTCAGGGAGGCCCATCCCGAAAAAAAAAAAAAAAAAA